AAAAAAAGCATTGAACTCTGTCCAGCCAACATGGAGGAACAAGATTGGCATGCAGTTCAAATTTCCTCTCTGATGGTTTCTGAGGGGATTGAGTTATTTGATGTTTGATGATTATTACTCATATTCGACTCTAAGGCCACAATTTATATCCAGAATCTCACGGCTTGTCAAGCTGTTCCTTTTATGGTTGTTCCTGTGTGAAGCTATGACTGGCAGGAGACATTCTGCTGCGTTCGAACGGGAGCTGATCGGCTTATTAAAGAGTTTAAATGAAGAAACAAACGGGTTGTTTCTTTTTTAAAACATTTCTTCTTACTTGCATGTAATCAGGTGTGTCTCTTTAAAACTTTGCCTCGGGAGAAGGAGACAACACGCACTGAACTACTCCCTCAGAGGAGACCACGCTGCCTGTGAATTTTTTCATGGAGAGTTTGGAAAGTATTGCCTTTAAAATGTGCTCCTTTCATCAAAGTCTCGATTGAGATGCCTTTGATAACGCTTGGGGGAAGGGGATGAGAGGAAGTGCTTTTAGTGTACTTGTATGTATGCGTGTGTATCAGCGGGTTGCTCTGGAACGCGTCTTTTATCTTCTCTCCCATGGGTGCCACTGCGACAGACTTGGGGCAGCAGTGGCTCATGGGAACCAAATTTCTGTGTATCCCCCCTGATCTGCTGTGGAAGCACCATGGGGGAAGTGGAAAGAGGAATCGAGGAGCTGAGGAGGTGTTGGGATGGGGAGGCAGCGTGCACCTCATTTCCCTATACATGGGTCCATAAGTAACAGCTTGAAAAGCTGAACAGTAAATTGTATAAATCTAGTGATAAGAGCTAGAGGGGAAATTAATGGGTAAGTCAAGAGCAGAGCTGTGTCAGGTTTGTCCAATTTTTGCTCATCTTTGAACCTACTCACCATTGCTGTAGAGAAGCTGCAGCTTGTAGTGAGTACCGTTGTTGGTCTTTTCTCCCGTCTGCTCCTTGCAAAAAGAGAGGCAGGCGTACAGACAAACGCAGAGAATACAGTTAGGCTCGCTGGGGTACAGATAAGCACAGCTGGGCATCAGTAAACAGGGTTAAGCACAGTGAGTCTTGCCTAATCCTGCAGCTCGCCCTTCCCATGGAGCAGCATCGAGATCAGAGAGTTGTAGGCTCAAAGCTCATTTGGGACCCTGTGTTGTGCTCATAAGCTGAGCACTTAACCTTGAGTCGGATATTCTTTGTAGAGGTTGAACTGTCATCTCTGATACAAATGCCTAAAAAACCCTCGGATCAAATGCAGTGGTCCTCGCTGCAGTGTGGTAGCAGGCATGGCTATATGCACTTGTGTGTGTGAGGGCAAAGTGTGTTCCAGCGAGTGGAAAGTACTGCGTGTGAGACTGAGCAGCAGTCGACCTTGACAGAAAAACTTCCTTTCTGCTATCCCTCCTTACACCCCCCTGCCCTACACTCTCCGCTAGCCTCTCACTTCTTCCTTCTTCCCCCCCCCTCTCTTCTGTGTTCTCCCTCTTCCTTTCTCTTTCTCTACCTCCACTGGTCTTTCTAAGTGGTCTCAGAGGAATGCTCTCTGGTCCAATAACCCAGGAGGCTGGCATCGCAGAGATGAGCGCGAGAAAGGAGGCGAGAGAACAAGAAGGTTGGGGGAGTGGAGAAACTGGGAAATGGAGACAGTTGCAAGGAGAGGAGAGGAAACGGGGTGGAAATTAAGATGCATGAAGATAAGATGAAAAAGCTCCAAACTTAATATGAGAACACACCTGGAGATAGATGGATGCCCAGCTTCATAACTTTTGTAAATATACACAGAGGGACGTTTACTTCACCATAGCATCACTCTACCTCTGCGCAATTACAAAGCAAAAACAGATGCCAGGGTAACCATGCAGAAAATGAACTTCTCCACTGCCGTCATATTAGTCTATGGTCTGTGTGGCACAAAGGGGAGTACGCCAACAGCTTCGGCCCCGGCATCAGGATTGCTGCATGCCTCACTTCGAAGCTCCAAAAACCCAAAAGTATGCTAGAACTTTAGTTGTTAGGATAGACTCCCCCTGTCTTTTCCACAGAGTGCAGTGGTTGCCAGAAGTTCAGGAGATTTGTGCCCCCTCACCACAAGGCAAAAACATCCATTAACACTGGGCATAAGGCTTTACTCCAGGCATATCTCAAACTCTTTCTGTCTTTCTCTCCATGCTGCACCCTTCTTTATTTTGGTGTTGTCCAACTTGAGGAATCCCCCCACCCCATACAGCAGTATTTAGAGTATGGGAGAGAGGCATGAAGGAAAAGGAGACTTTGATGATTAGTTCACTGTATAACTTTACAGGAGCGAGCATAATTTGCATTTTAAAAAAGTAGTGATGTCCTCCTAATGAGGCAAGCTGCTAATTAGTCATTAGATATTCTTTTTCAATCCCACATCATCAGCTCATTGGGGGTAAAGCTTGTGTAAACATGTAGCCGTCAGCTGTTCGATATGCTTGGCTTTACCAAGGATGGGGGAAATTAAGCTGAGCACCTGGTTACGGCTGAAATACTGTATATTACAAATACATGTGGATAATCTCTAATGTCGTGCGATTTTGATTAAACACGTTAAATATTAAAACTCGATGTAGATTTGACATCTCTAAGCTTTCGGGAACAGTCACACACCTTTTCGTGCTCCACAAAGTCCACAAACGCAGTCCTCTCCACTTCCACAGGTTGGCCGTGTCTGTCGTAGAGCGCCAGGACAAAGTGGAAGAAGTTGGACTTGCGGAGATTTGAGGGCGGCTGCTTCTCGAAATGAGCTCTCGACAGGGCCACTCCACTTAGGACACAACCGGAAGAGACAGTCAGCTCACGCTTATCACACTGAATATTATCATACTTTATTTAATTAAACACATTTATAGCATCAAATAGAAATACTTGTTTTCCTTTCCAATTAACAAGCTTTCTATTATTATTATTATTATTATTAACAACAACAACAACAACAATAATAATAATAATAATAATAATAATAATAATAATAATAATAATAATAATAATAATAATATGGACAAAGAAACACAGCAAGCATGCTAACAAACTAAACTAAAACACTTTTCTCTATTTGCAATAAATCTTGAAAGTTAAATTAAAATAGATTAAATGCAACAATAACTATCATTAAATTTACTATAGCTTGAATTAATTAAAACATTAAAATATTAAAAGCATATTTATCATCGTGCATTTTTTTTCTTCAAAGTCTTTCTTTGATCCATACATTAATTGTAGATTATTAGCATAAGCCAAACAAATAAAATAACTAAACTGATGGATAATTTTGCATACATTTGACCCTTCAAGGAGAACCAAATATGGACTAGAAAAAAATACAGAAAAAACGTCATTATAAGCCAAACTTACTCAAACTTTTTTTTTCTTTTAACTTGAAAATTGAAAAGTGTCGACGTCTTGTTTAAGTGAAAATTGTGTCGATGGCGGAGCATCATAGTTAAAATATACATTAGGACACTGAGTGTTTAATTAACGCGGATTAAAGATTTGGACACGTGAAACGCTTGCTTGAATTCATCTTAATAAAAAAAAGAGACTGCTATGAATCTGCGGGCTGGTTCAGAGCAGGTTTGACTGTTTGTTAAATTTTTCTGTAATTTTACTTTGGTCTGAAAAAGACCTCAAATCACACTCGAGTGCACTTTAGATTTTGTCTTGACAACTTCAGTTTTTGTTTCTAGTTGAACAAAATAAGTGTCGATTAAAAAACAAACAGCCATCTGCTTAAAAAAATCACTAAAATACTTTAAAAAATGAATAAATTATCCTGATAACTGTTTTCTATTTGCTCTATTAAAATATGCGCACTGCGCTGTTTAGCATGTTGCCAACTTTTCATCTTGAAAATGATTCTGCTTTCTTCATGACTGTTTCTTCAACATTGAAGTACAATACTGTTTGTGTGTTGTAAATATATTTATATATATATATATATTAATTAATACATGTGTGCAGAAGCTGACTGAACATCTACGGTAAGTAGAAGAAAGAGCCAACACTGGAAAATCTGTCATTTCTGTTTTTAAAAAAATCAGAGCTGTAAAGTTTGTGGCAGGTGACGATGAAGTTGCCTTTAAGCTGAAGCTAAAGCTGCTCTGGGAAAAATATGTATTTCGTTTTAGTCACAAACAGCTTTAACAGTGATCTCCGCTCCTGTGAACGAAAACTAATGACGTTATTAAATGCCTCTTGCCTTTATGTACAAATAAATAATTGTTAGCTGTTTTGCATTTGGGGCAAGTTCCATTATCATTTCAAGCATTATGAAAAATGTTTGTTGTTATTTTTTTCGTCACTTTTAAGGAAGTTTTTACGAGTTTGGGGGCAGTGAGTTTTATAGGGGACTGGTGTCATATTTTGCAACAAGTAGTTTGCAGCTCTTTTCTCAAAGGTTGCCTCTTCTAATGTTCGACCTTAAAATAATAATAATAATAATAATAATAATAATAATAATAATAATAATAATAATAATAATAATAATAATAATGTCTCCATCATGAGCAGTCAAACAAGCATGGGCGTATCAGATGAGAGGATGGTGAGAACCTAAAGTCAGCAGATCAGCTGAGTTTGTTCTGTACCTTTGCGCTGCGACGTTCGCATCCACAACCCCAACATTGCGCACCCACGACCGGACTGGATCCATCTCCTCTCCAAGACCTCTTTCTTTTAATCCGCTCACTTCACGAATCAGATGTTCCTGGATTCCAAACATTTACACCCTGCTCCGATCGGCTGGTAACACTTTCTTGAAGCAGTTGAAAAAAACACTGAGCTAGGCAGCTAAAGCACTTTGGCACACAAGAAAAGGTCCACTTCAACGCGCTGCGCTCCTCCAAAGCGCCACAAACGAACTGAGCATTTACAGAGCTTTGTAGGGGGAAAGAAGTAACCGACGCTGTGTGATGTTTCAGGGGCGTCTCATTAAAAATCCGAAAAGACTTTCTTTTATGGTTCAAATGATGATAGTAAATATATCCTTCCACTGATGTGAAGCATTCTCCAAGCGCACATCTCTACCGTCAGTCCGAGCGGGCTCTGTGCGTTCAGCTCCGCAGATATCCGGGAGCGAGTCTCGAAATATTCTTTAAAGTATGAGTGTGCAGAAAGTCTTCCTTTGTCACAGGGCCAAATCGAATCAAACCAGTTGATCCGAGGGCCAGGAAGCTTGTAGCGAACGACTGTGTTGAAGCATGAATGAGACCCTCAGCTGGGATGGGGCGTGGAGGCGGGGTCTCGATGCCATATGGGATTGTTGAAATGGGTGCTCTCATTGGTGCAAAGTGCATCCCTTGTTTGGTCTGCTGCCAGATTCAGCATCCAACCTGTGACTCCAGCAGCAAACTTTTTTAAACACAGAGAAGTTTCCCTAGATAAAAATCACATAAAAACACAATAAAACATTTATAATGAAGAAACGGTGTTAATTTAAGAATTTAGTGTGTCTACTATATTTCTTTTTTTTTCTTTGTGTGTGTGGCAGAAGTAGGAGTGTAGTCATCGAAATCTTTTATTAAAAGGTACGTGAAAGGTTACGTTAGGGGGGGAAAGAAAAAAACTTTGCTCACTTTAAGAATTTCTGGGCGCTTTTGTGTATTTAAAAAACAATTACTGGCGTTTGGTTTCAGATTGTCTTGTACATGCTGCGCAGCTATACTGCCCTTAAAAGCCCGTACAGCCAGTTCTGTTTGGTCTATTCATTCAAGTCAACATTTAACACAAGTGCGCTCTCGACAGGCACGCATTCAGCAGCTCGACCGTCTGCTCCTTTGAACGCGGTGATTCCGCTGAGGACGCATCGCATCAGTGTCAGCAGCAACAATGGCCGTCTGGTTGGTCCATCAATCTCCGCCAGCAGCCGACGACGCTGCACTCTGATTGGCGTTTGAAGCGCTGCCTGACAGTGCCCGAAATGAGTTCTCTTAATCAATACGACAGACTGCCTCAACAAATCCAACCTAGTCATGAGACCCGTTACAAATAATGCTGTTAACAAACATGATTACCATCCTCTGTAGTCCGCTGAAAAAAAGGAATACATGAACTTACGAGTTTTGAGAGTCTGACAAAGTTTCCTTTGCTGCTCCATCTGATGATTTCGTTACTGGCTCATATTAAAGAAACCAAGCACAGTGCTGATGGGTTCATTTTACCATTCGTGCTTTCTGATCTGTTATTACTTTCATTAAAGTCAAATTTGGGTTGTATGTCCAATGCTTTTGGGTTACATTTGGGGGGGAATAAAATTAATTTCCGCTTCCATTCGTCTGGCTATGAAAGGGAAAGTTACCCCCCCAACGCGGGCTCTCTGCCCCTTACCGAGACTATTGTCTCTATGTGGAGTTTGTGCGCCTGGACAATGAATGTAAATCTCCCCCCTTGGATCGCGCCTCAGCTCACCATCTGCCAGCGCGGGACAAAGTCAGATGTTCCCCCAATTATGAAAGCAGTCTTGGGGAATCCTGCTGCCGAGTCTCCGCCCTGTCGCCGTCTCCCTCACACACTTTTCCTAAAATGACTGACAGCTCTACTTAACCCTAAAACCATGACAAAATCTATACATGATGACACAGAGGCGAAAGATAAAATTCCTGTAGATCTCAAGGAAACGACAAGGATGTGCTCTTTAAATGTTAAGATGTAGATTGTATGGAATTGACGTTTTGTTGTATGCTTGTGTGTGTGCGTGTAACGATCTATTTGTTTACTATTTAAATGACAAGTTTTTAATAGTTCCTCTGGTGTAAGTGCTACAGAATTTGTCATCGTGATGGTCCACGTGTAATGTTAAGCAGGGGAGGATCTTGAAATTTTTAAATGCAGGCAAAAAAAATGATAAGAGGATGACACAAAGCTCTTCTGTGAAAATCCTCTACATGTGCATGGAGTCAATAAAGAATCCTCAAAAATACTTTAAAACAATTTATTGTATCATTGACTCTTTTAAGAAAACCGATTTTAACTATAATTGAGAAAAAAGTTCCTCCAAATAAATGGAAAATAACTTAAATTACTGTACAGGAGTATTGTCGATTATAATTTAATGTTCATGGTTTTAGGCTTTTGTGCACCTTGAGAATTGAACAGAGGAAAAAGACCATGCAGATCATTAACCGAAATCTTCCTGCTGTAACCTGTGTGTTTGGGAGTTCGTCTAGTATTGACTTGTCCGGCCTGCCCCGACTCTTCAGCCCCGCAGGTGTGAGAGGCTCGGCCGCGATTATCGCAACCCGCAAGACTTTCTAAATGTGTGGCTTTTGTAATTCGGTGAAGCAGGGAGCCGGAGCGAGAATGGGGGATTAGTCAGACCGCAAACGTCTTTCTAATCAATTTAACCCACTGAGACGGTCAGGCCGTGCGTTTTAGGGAGGAGCTGGGGAGAGGTGTGGAGAGGGGGGGTTGGTGACTGCTAAACCAAACAATGGGGTATCGTGTGCCGTTCGTCCTCCCCAGAATTCCCCTGCTCCCATGGGACAACCAAATCCACTCTGCACGGATGGCACCGTGTCCTGGGAGGGCAGGAGGGGCGTGGCTTGTGCGTAAGGGGGAGTCGCAGACGCTGCAGCTGGTTTCTGTCCCTCCTCTCCACTGTGCAGAAAACAACAGAGCTAATGCGACCCTCCACGTCCCTAATCGATCGCTATATGTTTGTTTATTTATTTAGGAAAGGACGCAGATCCCCGGGAGAAGTGTCGGCATCTGCAATTGAGGCCACTTTTCTTTCCTTAAGCACATCACCCAGCTAAAGTTTCCCCAAACATTCGGATTAAGTTCTGTTTAATGTTTGTATATAGAATAAAATATTGCAAGCCAAATGGAAAACAGGGATTGGTCCATAGCTAGATTCAATAACACAGAGAGAAGACCGTCTGTTTGTGCGCGAGGATCTGAATAAATCCCCACATGACTGTTATAGGCTGTTTGATCAAAATGGGTTTTCACTGCAAATTGGCTTCATGATATCAGTGCAGTTAACATCTGCCCAACACATTACTGCAAAATGTTCATCTCAACTGCTGATGTTTGGACTTTTAATAGTGTAAAATGCACGGGTGTTGCATTAACGCTATTTTACTTTCGCTCATTAAAGTGTAAAATGTGCATCCTTTGAAAGTAAAAAACAAAAACAAACAAAAAAACAAAACAAAACAAAACAAAATAACTATTCCAAACCTTTGCGATAAGTAAATGTAAAACAAATGATTAAAGAATGCTTTTAAACTCTCAGTCTCAAAGTGGTGAATTGCTTTATGTAAATTAAGTCGATAACGTACCTCCTATTTAAAATTTGATTTGAGTTCTTTATTTGAGAAATTTTGTACTTGTTGTCAGGCTGCAAATTCTGACATGAACTTATAATAGAAAACCCCTTTTTGAATGCGGACCACTTCATGGGAGCGTGAGTTTATGATCTGTAATAGTTTAGATAATTTATTTTTACAATAAGATAAACTTGGCTTTGAAAAGGATTTACCAACTACTGAATTGGGTTCATCTCTTCAGAAACACGGGGATAAATACCGCCAGAATATATTATATTTTCTTTTGCTTTAGTCATCTTTGAAAGATCAATCTGCTTTGTTTCTTTGTTCTAATGAAACTATCACAAACTTTCAAACTGTTTAAAGGAAACATTAAACGAAATTAAGTGTTATGTTTTTAAAGAATCATCTATTTTCATACAGATTGAGTTAAAATAACTCAAGAATCAGCATAATCACAACATTCTAGTAAAGTCAGTGAATTTGATCCACGTGGTTGCGCGTCTGCCTAGTTTGCTGTGATTTAAAAGCCTCTACGACAACGCCATCTCCTGGTCTGCATGGAGCATTCAGCTCTGACTTTCAGAGTTGGGCGGATCAAAAGAAAACATCTAGTTGCTCATTTAAATTTTCATTTATTAGGAACTGAAAGTCATAAATGTTTATGAATAAATGCATGATCTTTGAAATATCTCTTATGTGATTTAGGAAAAGGATGAAAAACAATAAATCTTCAGGAATTTAAAAGACAAGATTGAACAAATCATTCACGATTAAAATGAATCTTCACAACAAACTTCTTCATCCCTTTTTGCAAGCACAGGTATCAATGGATTGTACATATTTTTTCATTAAATGAAAATCTTTAAAACATTTAAAGAGTGCAACATATTAACCACAGCATGTTTCAGTTGTTTTATCTTTAACCTCCTAATACCCCAACTCTTTCATTTTAAATTTCTCTTTGCTATTTGAGATTTGTAGTGTCATAATTGAACTCTTTATTTGGTGTCTGAACACAGCAGCATTTTTCCTCAGTACAAAATCAAAATGAGAAACAACAATGGTGCCTGTTTGAGCAATATGGCTCGTTTGAAAGAGCAAAATTTAGTGTTGTGGTCTAGTAACTAATAGTTAGTTAGAATTATCATAACCTAAAGGCAGCCTTTTAAAAGGTGCAAGTTAAACAAAAGACATGCAAAAAGAACTGGGCATTGTTGTGAGGATGCTGTCTATTAGTAAACATCCTACACTTCAAATAGCAGATGCCCGTTGAAGTAGCTGTTGCTAGTGATGCCATTGGCACTGTTACGAGCAACCAGCCAGACCCTGTCACCACGCTCAAGCTGAACATAAATGCTTCCACTGGCCATCAGGTAACCGGTATGCTTTGTGGTGAATGAGTGAAGAATCCGGTTCCCGTTGCGCACCAGATCCACATTGGCAGACCTCTGGAAAATCGTAAGGCTGAACTCAAACTCATAAACACCCCGGGTCTCACATGTAAAGATCCCATTCTGAGTGTTGTAGCTGTTCTGTCCGTTGTAGATCACGTCACGGAAAATGATTGGATTACCAGCGTTGGGGGAGTTGCTGCCAAGTCGCATTGAGAAAGCAATGTTCCGTTGGTTTTCAGGGGGGCTAGGGGTAAAAGGTGGTTCTGTTTCTGAAAAATAACATAAGTGCTATTATAACGAAATAACCTGTAAACTTGAATATAAGCTACATGTAATACTTTAATATAAATTTGAACATGCATGGACAATATAGAACAATAAGTGAGAGGTTTACCTGGATCTTCTTCTGAACTTGAAGATTCATCTGAATCTGAATCTTAAAAAAAAAAAAAAGGTAAAAATCAGTATGTCCAAAATCCTTTAAGAGTAGCT